ATGCTTTTAGACTGTAATATTCCTTTCTGTCATTTTACTATGTCCGTGATTCATTTAACAGCACCCTATCTGTTGAGAAAAGTTAATGTTGATACATTTTATGACTTGCATAGTGTTATCTACCATGGAGTCTTATTTTGCTGACAATAAGGTGCTTACTATGTGTCAGCAACTAAGCACTGTACAGGTGTAATCTTGTTTATCTTCAACAACCACCCAATGAGGTAGGTTCTCCATTTAACCAATGAGGGTACTGAGGCTCAGAGGAGTATTCATCTAAAGCCATACCAGCAGTAGTAAATGGTACAGCCAGGACTTAAGCCCAGATATGTTTAACAGAGAACATATTTTCTTTCCTTCCCCTGCCTCCCTTCCTTCCTTCCTTTTTTCTTTTTTGACACAGTCTCACTCTGTCACCTAGGCTGGAGTGCAGTGGCACAGTCATGGCTCACTGTTGCCTTCACCTCTGAGGCTCAAGCTATCTTCCCATCTCAGTCTCCCAAGTCGCTGGGACCACAGGGTCACACCACTACACCTGGTTAATTTTTCTATTTTGTAGAAACAGGGTCTTGCTATGTTACCCAGGCTGGCCTTGCACTTGTGGGATCAAGTGATCCTCCTGTTTCAGCTTGAGAAGTGCTGGGATTGCAGGCATGAGCCGCTGTGCCTGGCAGAACATGTATTCTCATAGTGTCAGGACTTCAGGTTGTCAAGCCAAATCGATTTACATGGAGGGCCAAATTTTAGTTCAAAAATGGGAGCAATACCATTTATTGTTATGTTCTGGGGAAACAGAGTCTAGAAATTTTATATATCATGGTGTGACTAGTAATCAACTTTTAATATTAAGGGTACGATAATGGCCAGAAAGTGCTAACAGCACATTTAGGATGAGGCGATTGCTCTGGATAAACCACTGGGTCTAATTTCCATATCAGCATCACTCTATAGGCCCAGAACTACTAGGTAGTGATGTATGGAACTGGTAGTGAAGAGAGCAGAATTTACTGATTTTTAAATTTTTTATTTTTGAGACAGAGTCTCACTCTGTCACTTAGGCTAGAGCACAATGGCATAATCTTGGCTTACTACAACCTCCGCCTCCCCGGTTCAAGTGATTGCCCTGCCTCAGCCTCAGCCTCAGCCTCCTGAGTAGCTGGGATTCCAGGCCCAAAATAAAATAACTTTCGTATTTTTAGTAGAGATTGGGTTTTGCCATATTGGCCAGGTTGGTCTTGAACTCCTGACCTCAGCTGATCTGCCTACCTCAGCCTCCTGAAGTGATGGGATCATAGGCATGAGCCATCACGGGTAACCCATATTTACTGATTTTATTTGTGTTAGGAGAGCTGTGTGGCTAGGAAAGTAGGTTTGTATCTAGCAATCTGTGTACCAAGATGACTTAGCCAATTGGATTCTTCGCCCCTAGCCACAAGAGAAAAAGAGAACAGAGGAAAATGTCTTCTTTGGAAGTGGCTGCTTGTTTTTGACTGGGCAAAGTTTAGCCCAGGTGCCAGTAACTTGTGGCTATGTTTAAAGAGAGGCAGGAGGAGGGAAGGGGAAGGAGGAGGAGGCTTCTCGGCTCCTCTGGAATTCCATGGTGTCATTATCGTGTGGGCACTCTGGGCATCCGGCAGGATCTGCAGTGACGAGTCGTGCAGTACCAGGAATGGCTTTGAGCTACTGGAGGGAGGGATGGTGGTCACCGCATGCTGAAACCACATCCTGCCCTTCAGCTTTGGCTCATGCTAGTTCTGGAGGCAATGAGTAGGAGAAACATCTAGTTGCAAGCAGTATCATATAGCAAATCTCAGAGCAGATATCAACTAAAGTTTGAAGTGGTGTGTGCAAGATGAATGGGCAGAAGGGAGATTTCCCTCCTAGCTCACTGCACTCGTGTACAGAGCAGGCTTCTTAAGTTTTCTTCCCTGCAGTTTATTTTAGCATAGCATTCATAGTTTTAAAAATCCATCAGTTCATGTTACTTCTTTGCTTAAAATCCTCAAATGACTTCCCTTTGCACATAGGAAAAAACTCAGTCTCCTTACCGTGACTGGCAAGGTTCTCCCGGATCTGGTTTCTGCATTTTTTTCCAGCCTAGTTTTGCATAAATTCATTCTGCCCTGGCTACACAGGCTATTGGTTTCTCGAATAGGCCAAGCTCATTCTCACCTCCAGACCTTTGCCTCTGCCACATCTTTACATTCTCAGCTCCATCCCATCTCTCAGGTCTCAGTTCAAATGTGGCCTGCCCCAGGCTCAGAGAGCCCTGCCCTGGCCATCCTATGCAAAAACCTCCCTGTTGCCATCTTTACCTTACGATGGTTTCATCTTTATTGTTTCATTTATGCATATCTGAATTGGTTTTGTTCACTTACTTGCTGATTGGCTAATTAGGATGGAACCCTCAAGACAGCAAGTGTTGCCCTGTTTCCCACTGTACCCCCAGCCTGGCACATGGTAAGCACTCAACAAATAGAGTTTTTTTGTTTGTTTGTTAAGACAGAGTCTCACTCTGTCACCAGGCTGGAGTGCAGTGGTGCAATCTCAGCTCACTGCAACCTCTGGCTCCCTGGTTCAAGAGATTCTCCTGCCTCAGCCTCCCAAGTAGCTGGGATTACAAGCATGTGCCACCACGCCCAGCTTATTTTTGTATTTTTAGTAGAGATGGGGTTTCACTATGTTGCCCAGGATGGTCTTAATCTCCCGACCTCGTGATCCACCTGCCTCGGCTTCCCGAAGTGCTGGGATTACAGGTGTGAGCCTCTGTGCCCAGAAAACAGTGTTTTTTTTTTTTTTTTTTTTTAAAAACATACATTTGTCTTTTTTTAATCTAAGAGTGTTGTAGCTAGAAGGGACCCAGGAAACAGTTTACCCAAATTTCCTCCTGCTATAGATGAGGCAGCTCATGATGGTCAAATGACATATCCAGGTCAATGGCGGGCCATCTGGCTATATGGGGACTGGTTCCAGACTGATGCCCCGGGAGTGGCATGGGCCCAGGAGTCAATGACTTAGAATATAAACATATCTCAATCCCTTTCCAGAAGGGCAAGCAGCCTGAGGTCTGGAGGGACAGTAAACATGTGGGCTTTCAGAAGCATCAACAAAAATAGCAGCTTCCTCTACCTGTTAGTTTCAAAGGACAAAACCGCAAGGCTGTTACCTAAGCATACGCTATCATTCCAGAGATAATTGTTAAGAATAAGAACACAATTTATCCCCAAATTCCTCTATCTCATACGACAGTGGGTGCTACAGTATGAGGTATGTCTGACTGGAAAATCTCCCAGAGTCATCAAAGGCAGAAACGAGTCCCAGCCTCAAGCAGCCCTGCCGTGCCTCTCATGCTCAATACCCAAGTCGAGTGCCCATCTATAGGAAGGCTGCATCTTCTAGAATAAACCCTTAGTTTATTGGGCACTGCCTCTCCCTGCTCTGTGTGCTGGGCACTTCCAAGACCCTTATTTACTCAATGGATAACACAGATTAAAAACCTAGAAAGTCTTGTTCTGACTTTGAGCTTGAACACTGACAGGTTGAAAGAGAAAAAAATTTCAGCGACATTAATAATCTGCAGGCATATCAAGATTGGGTAAATATTATTTGCAAGTGAAACAGCTCTCTAACGGAGGCAGTTAAAATTATAAGAAGAGCCAAGTTTACATGCATTAATTGGAGAAACTTGCCACTTCATCTTTCACCTATCCTGGTTACTTTTTTTTGAGATGGAGTCTTGCTCTGTTGCACAGGCTGGAGTGCAGTGGTGTGAGCTCAGCTCACTGCAGCCTCCACCTTTCAGGTTCAAGTGATTCTCCTGCCCCAGCCTTTTGAGTAGCTGGGACTACAGATGCCTGTTAACATGCTCGGCTGTTTTGTATTTTTAGTAGAGATAGGGTTTTACCATGTTGGGTAGGCTGGTCTCGAACTCCTTTCCCAAGTGATCCACCTGCCTCAGCCTCCCAAAGTGTTGGGATTACAGGTGTGAGCCACCACACCTGGCCCTGGTTACTTGTGAATTGACAATGGCAGTTTATTCCCCATTGCATCAATCTGAGCAGTGATGTTTGGCTTGGTGATCTTCCTTAAACTGAGCTCCCTTCTATTTCAGCAAGCTTTACCTCTGCTCTATGGTTTTATGAGGCTGAATGTCACATTGCCATTGGCTCCTGACCCACAGTCATTCGTTCCCATTTCCAGGTTCCACTTATATCTCTTGTCCCTGCAAAGATAAGTGAGACTTATCTTTAATGGTGAGACTTGCCTCACCATCTGGCCAAATCCTGGCCATCCTTCAAAGGAGAATTTCAGGTTCTACCTCTTTCAAGAAGCCATCTCTAATGCTCCTAGACTGTATTAATTCAGCTTGCCATTTGAATAGTTATACTTTGTCCCCCAGGGTAGCCCAGAAGTACCTGACAAGCAGGGGCCAGATCTGATATGATTCTCAAGTGGCTACGGCAACACTGGGTGTTCGGGCCCAATACAGAAATACCTGTACGGGGATTCGAAAGCATTCACTTGAATCAATTTGCTACGTATGCAGACCTAACGGGAGGATGCGGTCAACTCCCTCTCCTTGTCATCAGAGACCTCGTCCTTTAGTGGATTCATGAGGCCTTCAGATTCTGAGGCCCAGATACTCAGAGCACAGTGTAAATACTCTCAAGAGCATATCTCCTTGGATGAGAAAAGGTCTGTGGTACCGGCACTGAAAACCCAGCTCACCTGCCCAATTTGGCACATCCCACGGTATAAGCCCCCAACGGAGCCTAGATGCTTAGGTAGAATCTTGTTAGAAAACATTGCCAGGATACTGGTGGTATAGGTTTAGATCCCAAGTCCTCAAGGAAAAAAAATTATACAAAATGGGCACACTTTTGATCCAGCAGTCTCCAAAGTGGTACTGGAAAGAAAATCCCGTAGAGAAATAATAAAACAGAAACTGCAGTATTTTATGTCATCTTAATCTCTGGTTTTGTGTATTTTCTAATGCCCAGAATAAGGTACCTAACATTGATGAGGACAGCAACAGCAACAACCACTCCACTCATTGAATGTTATCACGTACCAGGCGTGGTTCTACAGCATTTTCCAGATTGCAATTCGATTTCATTCTCACAGCAACACTGCAGGGTGGACATCATGACTGGCATCTTTTAGAGGTATGTGAGTGATATGTGAATTTCTAAGTATGCATGCTTAAGTTATTTTGTACAATTAGGACTATATGCTCTAGTCTCTTTGTCTTTCCCCATTTCTTTGGGAGCCCCCAATTCTGTGGGTTCCTTTACTTCTGGGGTGGTATGGGCATCTCCCACTTCTTCAGGTGGCCTCCTTTTCCTGCACAGCCCCCTCCAATTCTGTGGCCATGTCCTCCTGTCTGTGAGTGTCCCCCACTTCTAAAGGCAAAAATCCCAAGAGATGTAGACTTCCTCCTGTGAAATCACTAGCAGTTTAACCACCAGTCATTGAAGGATCCACTCTGTACCTTCAAAGTCAATGCCCCCAGTACCAAGTTGTGGTAGAGGCAGATATGCTATGAAGTTTCAGAAGGGTGGGATCACACTCATTTCTATGCATCACTTCTTTTCCTTTTTCTATTTCTTTATTTTTATTTTTTGAGACAGAATCTTCCTCTGTTACTCAGGCTGGAGTGCAGTGGCCTGATCTTGGCTCACTATGACCTCTGCATCCTGGGTTCAAGCATTCTCATGTCTCAGCCTCCAGAGTAGCTGGGACTACAGCAGTGCGCCATCAGCCCAGCTAATTTTTGTATTTTTAGTAGAGATGGGGTTTCACCATCTTGGCCAGGTTGGTCTCGAACTCCCGACCTCAGGTGATCTGCCTGCCATGGCCTCCCAGAGTGCTGGGATTACAGGTGTGAGCCACTATGCCTGGCCCGGTACATCACTTTCAAATGGGCCCGTGGCTTTGCTCTTTTGACTTTATTGCTGCTACAGCACCATCCCAGACAGCACTAGTTTGAAACCCAGGTGGCTGGGGCCACCCTCCATCAGAGGAAGGCCACCACCTGTACAGCCTCAAGTGAATCCAAGGTCACTGTGGCAGAGGAATCTGTGTGAAGGGGCCAGGCTGCTGATGCACATGAAGGCCCACCAAGGGCTTGGCAACAGCATGCCCTTAATTTAAGCCATTGGGTTTAAATTTGACTCACCGTGCCATAGTCCAGCCTTTTGTTTGCCAAACCGCCAGTCAACTTAAACTAAAACATGTTTTTGGAAAATGCTTTCAGGGGTGGTAGGAATGCAGTTACTTGCTGGGAACATTCAAATACACTTAGGGTGGTAATGCAGGAGAAAAACAAGAACACACATCAGTTTAGGTTGTGATGCTCTGCTGCAGAGGGACAGAGAAACTGGGGTTGCAAGCTTCTATTTGTCCTTGATCCACTAGCACATGTGGGTCAGTTTCCTGCAGTGAGAAAATTGGTACTCAAGTTCTCCATGACCTTCCTGGGCTGTGAATGGCAGCTACAGTTATTGTATAGTTGGGCTCATTCTCATCCCATAGAGAGAGCTAGGAGCAATCAGATCATTCTGGCATTAAGGCCCTCTCCTGTGAGAGCATGTGTGCATGTGTGCAAATATTTTAGTGATGATAAAAGGCGGGCTCCATTTTGCATTTTGCCCTCTAAGCAATGCAGTCGAAAGGAGAGAGCACTGAAGCAGGAGTTGGTGAAGCAGGCTCAGGTGTCCTGCCTTTATTTCACATCCTTTGTAAATCCAGTGTAAATACTCTCAAGAGCATCTCTCTTATCTTGTATGATCATTTTATAGTATCTTTTTTTTTTTTTTTTTGAGAAGGAGTCTCCCTTGGTCATCCAGGCTGGAGTGCAGTGGCGCAATCTCGGCTCACTGCAACCTCTGCCTCCTGGGTTCTAGGGATTCTCCTGCTTCAGCCTCCCCAGTAGCTAGGTTTACAAGTGTGTACCACCACACCCAGTAGCTAGGTTTACAAGTGTGTACCACCACACCCAGTTCCCTGGCCTCTGCTTCCTCACCCCTAAAATGGGTTAACATTTGCCTACTCTACAGCTTGACCGTGCCTATCAAAGGTGTAGATATACAAAGATGGAATTTGTAAACCACAGGGTAACAGATTTGTAGTTTGCTGGTTGATGGCATCTGGGAATACCAGAGCCCGTTTGAAGTCATGACTTTCAGCACCACTGCTTGGCCTTGGCTAAGGTGCTCTGTTTCTTGTTTTTTTTTTTTTTTTTTCTGGTGGCTTCCTCCTGCATACTAGACAATGTAGCCTCACACTCAAAGCTTCTTCTCAAGTCTGTCCAATCTCCTTTTCTAGCCATATTTAAATGAACCTTTTCTAGCCATCACTAGTGTTTATAAACTTCTTACTACACATGATTAACACACATCAACTGGCTAGCTTATTTAGCCCTCCTCATATCTAGGAGCAGGGTGCTAGTGTCATGATTTCCATTTTACAGATGGGTGAGAGAGGCGTGCCCAGGATCATCATAACCAGCTTGTGGCAACATGCTTCGATGATCTTATATATATTTTTTGAGACAGAGTTTTTAAAACAACAGCCTCTGTTGCCCAGAGTGCAGTGGCGTGATCTCAGCTCAATGCAACCTCCACCTCCTGGGTTCAAGTGATTCTCCTGCTTCAGCCTCCTGAGTATCTGGGATTACAGGCATGTGCTACCACGTCTGGCTAATTTTGAATTTTGAGTAGAGACAGGGTTTCTCCATGTTGCCCAGTCTGGTCTTGAACTCCTGACCTCAGGATTGACCTGCCTTGGCCTCCCAAAGTGCTGGGATTACAGCTATGAGCCACTACCCCAACTTCTTTTAATGCATACTTCTCAGGCTATCAGTTAGACTATACAGCAGGGGGCAATAATTTTTTTTTTCTGTGAAGTTCCAGATAGTAAATATTTTAGGCTTGCAGGCTATAAGCTTTCTGTCGCTCAACTCTAAACCCAACTCTGCCATTTTGCACAAAAATAGCCATAGACGATATCTAATGAATGAGCATAGCTGTGTTCCAATAAAACTTTATAGATACTGAAATTTGAACTGTATATAATTTCCATGTGTCATTAAATATTATACTCCTTTCAATGTTTTAAAACATTGAAAAACATGCAAATCATTCTTAGTTCATGGGGCATATAAACAGCAGCAGGTTATTGAGCTGAGAGCTACAAGTTTGCCGACCCCTGCTGCAGACGTTCAAGACAGAGTCATACCTATTTTATCTATTTCCCTCACTGGCTAGTGGTAGGGCCTGGAGAAAATAATACAGGTTTTAGAGGTGTATATGTTTGAGTTGAAGTTCAAGCTCTGTATTACACTGTACTCAGCAAAACAGATACTCTGTAACAGTTGGTTTTCTGCCCTTTCAAAGTCATATTTTTTAAGGTACTGCTCAGTTTTTATCTTAATTCCATCTTATCCCAATAATGCAGTTTCTCCAGTGACTCACTAGGGACCAGGGGAAGAGGGGCAGTTATTTGGGTAAATGTTGGTGTTTTCTGTCATTAAGCCTCACTGAAGAGAATATAAAGATTTAAAAAATGTTGGGAGCCACAGTGGCTCCGGCCAGTTATTCAGGTGCTTGAGGAGGCAAGGCTATGAGTTCAAGGCCAACCTGAGCAAAATAAGAAGCTCTCATTGATTAATAAAAAATGTATAACCATTCTAAGGACCTCAAAAGTCCCACTGCAAATAGGCAAATCTCTACCCCCAACTGTATCTGGTCTATGAATGGAGTCTGCAGGTTTCAATCACCCTTGAAAGATGGTTGCATATGCTAAAATCCTACTTAACTTTCTGAAAAGTAAGTTACATTGCATTTTGAAATTTATATAACACTTTCACACCCATTGCCTTTATTTTTACATTTTATTTTTTCATTCTCATAAAAATGCTTCAATACAGGTATGGGCTTATCCTAGTTTTACAGTTTAGAGAAGTAAAGTGATTGATTTGCAGAATCACCACAGAAAAGAGCTGGAATAGAGGAGGGGCCGTCCTCTTTGCATCACTAAATTCCTGATGGACCTCAGTACACGCCCCAGAAGTCATATCTAGAGCTTAATGTCTCAGTGCACTTCATTTAAAAATTCTCCTTAATATGCAAAGTATAATATCTAGGCTCCAAAGTAGTTTCTGAGCTGGTTCGTAAACTTGAAAACTGGTTGGGATCACTAGGCAGGTATTTTAAAAGTAGCAATGCCTGGGTACCACCTTCAGTTAACTAAATCAGAAGCTCTAGAGGTGGGCTTCTGTAGTCTGACAAGCTTCAGAGGTGATTCAAATGTGCAAGGACCCCTGGGGTCACAGCAGGCTCACCTTAGAGCTGTTAAGTGGGTAGTGGCCTCTGAAACTTTCTCCCGGTTGACTTGATGCTCAAGTCTCACTTGATCCTCTGACCTCTCTATTACCTGGTTGGTTGGCACTCACCTCCTCAAGGTCACAAACTTCCCGTCTGACTGGCTCAGACTCTGGAATCCTCTCTAGCTCCCCATGAGAATTTCCAAAATGCATTGGTCTTGAGGTGTAGGGTAAACTATTTTTTAAATGTCCTTCCACAAATCAGCAGGTTGCTGCTTCTAGAGATGTGAAATCTTTAAAACACATAGCTAGAACTGTCTTTATGTCACTGGGGCTGTGTAGAGGTGGGAGCAGGGCCAATGTATATAGCTTGAAGCCAGTGAAAATGATGTACAAATGTTACATAAACATCTTTCCAAGTTATAGTAAAAAATCTTCTGACTCGAAACATTCCATGAAATTTTCATGCTGAGTGATAAAATGATAACATTTTGAGATAGTAGTGTTAGCCGTCTCTCTGATTACCTCTGCATGTCTTTTTTGGAAGATGGCAACCAGCACGAACGTAACAGATTTTCAGAAAATGTATTTGGCTCTCAAGGCTTTAAACTTTTTTTTTTTTTTTTTCCAACTGGCCCTTAAAATTGGTTTAGCTCCTTAGCGAAACCAGTAATCATTGAGCATGTAAACACCATTAGGTCAAGTGGAAGATGGGGATGATGTACTGGCAAGCTACTTTCCAGAGCTGGCTTAAGGATAAGAACGTATGAGAAGTATATTGAGCTCCTAAGAAGGAAAACCTCAAAACACGGTGGCTATCATTAAAATGTTTTCAAGTTCTTTATAAAAATAACATATTATTTCTCAAATTACAGAGGTCTCTAATAGTGATGGGGAAAAATTTGTTCTTTGCAAAATAGAAATATTTTTCCACTATTTCTGAACCTAACAACTTTGAAAGCATTCAGCAGTTTTTCTAAGATTATTTAAAGCAAAATGCCCATGATGTATTTTACAGTTAGATACTCTTAGTGTTCGCTGTGCTGAGTCTCAATCAAGTGTCAGATGAACCAACTGTGTTTTTAAAAGTAGAAAACATTTTAATTAACTCAATTGAAAAGGCATTTTAGGGGGAAATCAATAATTTTGGTAAGTAGGCAATAATAAACATTAGTGGCTGACTTTGCACAGTAGATTCTAGGCTGCAAAGTGCTTCTATTTATATCACTGAGTTTCCCCAGCTACCCTGGAAAGTTGAGATAAGTCCTTTTATAGAGAAGAAAACCAAGTCTTAGGAAGACTGAGACAGTTTGAAATCAGTGGAGCTGGGACCTGCCCTCAGGCTGTTTTACTTCAGATCCTCTGCTCACAGAGAACTTATGGTAGCAGTTAAAAGTGTTGACTCTAGGACTGCCCAGATTTCAAATCTTGATTTCATCTCTTTGTGACCGTGGACAAGTCATTTTATCTTGCTATACGGCCATTTGTTTAAAGAGAGATCATAAAAGCACCCACATTTTACAGGGTTATTGAAAAGATAAAAGATGAAAACTAACATACTGCATGAAATAGATTATCACTATCCGGATGCTTGTTCCTTTGCTTTATTTTTTGTAAAAAAAAATAAAAAATAAAAAAAAAAAAGCAGGCAGAAAGGAAGACCATCTAAAAACTGACCATTTTGAAGATCAGTTTGTAATAAGACATCAGATCTACGTTCTTCCTCTAATACCTAGAAGATGGAAACTATTCGTATTCTTAGCAACGGAAGTTTCCAGACCATCCTGGGCCTGTTTCCAACCAGTGTAGACTAGTTTGTGGGCCCTAGGAGGACTAGGTGACCTCCGTGAACTTGCAGAGTCACACTGAATGGCATGAACATTTCACCCAAGAAGGTCTCTTATTTTTATCCCTTTTGGATTGGAAGAAGAGCTTAGCTGGAGTGAATGGACCTGCTCATGTGGTCACAGGCTCAGCTCACAGCTCCTAACCTGCTCCTTGCAGGCCTGGGTTTTTGTCAGGTCACTTTGGACAGCCAAGCCTGCATCTGCCGAGATGACAGGTGAAGGATCCAGGTCTCAAGGGGCCTTGAATGTCATCACGCTGGCTGAGTCTCTGCAATCATCTGACTCAGTAACACGGCACTGAGAAGCACAACAACCCAGGAAAAAGAAAATAAAAACCAAACCAACCCACACTCACAGGGGGAAATTTCCCTACTTCGGAGCCTAAAACCCAAACAGCTGCTACCTCCCAGGTTGAACTTGTATACAAAAGTATACAAGGGAGCTCTGGAGTGTGGGCAGGGGGAACGAAAGAGTAAACCAATGAAGAATCATCAATAACATGATAGTCCATACCCCACCGTTAAGCTGATTTCTTTACTACCTTCATCATTAATATTTTGCTAAAGCTTATTAACTTTTTTCCCCCCCAAAATATGGTTTAAAATGGAAAGCAACAGAGCTAAACAAGATATTTTTTTTTAGCTGGAGTCTTGCTTCTGTTGCCCAGGCCGGAGTGCAATGGCACGATCTCAGCTAACTGCAACCTCTGCCTCCCAGGTTCAAGCGACTCTCCTGCCTCAGCCTCCCAAGTAGCTGGGATTACAGGTGTGCACCACCATGCCCAGCTAATTTTCTTGTATCTTTAGTAGAGATGGAGTTTCACCATGTTGTCCAGGCTGGTCTCGAACTCCTGACCTCAGGTGATTCACCTGTCTTGGCCTCCCAAAGTGCTGGGATTACAGGCATGAGCACACGCCCAGCCAAAACAAGCAGTTTTAAGCTTTAGGTAGACACGGGACTGAATACTCTTATCACATGGGGGTGGAAGGGACCCACAGGCAAGAAACATGGAAGTGCTTTAACTCAGCCAGTTTTGTGGCCTCATCTGAGAGTGCCTCGGAGCCCCCCTCAGAGTCAGCTGAAGTGGGACAAGAGGGAGACAGTGAGAACAGTCAGAGGGTAGGGATTTGAAACAGGCCAAAGTGCTCAAGGGCTTGCTTCCTGTTGAATTCTGTTGTGCTAAGGCTGTTGCCAGGGCCAGTGCTGCCTGTGACATGTTCCCCTGTATCCTCAGGGCAGGCTTGAAAGGGGCTTGGCGTGACATTTCACCTCAAGAGAGAGGCTCACTAACCGACTCACTGGGGTATTACGATGGTCCTTGCCCGTCCTGGCCAATCTCAGGGACATCTTAGTAGGACCCACTTAAGAACTTGAAGTCGCCTATAATCCCAGCACTTTTGGGAGGCCGAGGCCGGTGGATCACGAGGTCAAGAGATCGAGACCATCCCGGTCAACATGGTGAAACCCTGTCTCTACTAAAAATACAAAAAATTATCTGGGCATGGTGGCGCGTGCCTGTAATCCCAGCTACTCAGGAGGCTGAGGCAGGAGAATTGCCTGAACCCAGGAGGTGGAGGTTGTGGTGAGCCAAGATTGCGCCATTGCACTCCAGCCTGGGTAACAAAAGCGAAACTCCGTCTCAAAAAAAAAAAAGAACCTGAAGTATGTTGAAGAAGAAAGAGATTAGGGATAACGGGGTGAGGGGCTAGGGGAGGGATAGCATTAGGAGAAATACCTAATGTAGATGACGGGGTGATGTATGTAGCAAACCACCATGGCACGTGTATACCTATGTAACAAACCTGCATGTTCTGCACATGTGCACAATAACTTAAAGTATAATAAAAAAGTAAAGAAAAAAGAAAGAGATTGAGGGATCTATCTTCTGCTTGCCTCAAAATTCTTAGGGTCCTAAAAAGTTATTTTTTGGGGAAACTACTTCAAGACAACCCAAAGAGATGATTCAACTTGGGAAGGAGCCAGGATGAGCCTTTGGGCCTTTGAGACTTACCCGGACCACATAGTTAAATCGTCGGGAATCCAGAATGGCAGTTGAGAAGTCCAGTCTGTTGAAAGCTTCACCCAGAGTGCAATATCCATGGCGCTGAAAGTGAAAACAAAGGCACAGAAGTTACTCCTGCCATGCAGAGGTCATCCGAGTCAGAATGAGCCAGTTAGAACAACCCAACTGGCATTTGCCGAATGAGCCTGATGCCCATCTTAGGTGACCTGGGGCACTGGCTTCTTTCCCTTACCCACAAGCCTTTGAGAGCCACCGAGATGGGTAACCCAGCCAGCAGCTGCCTCAGGCAGCCCCTCACATGTTAAAATCCCCCTTTTTGTGACTTGTACCATTTGGGACCTTGCTTATGATTTTTCCACGCATTAGTCTGGAAAAACAAGTAATTGCTTATTAAGAAAAGAGTGGGAGTAGGGTATGGGACATGGGAGGTCATGATGGTTGTGACAGTAACGTACTCTTGGGAAGAGAATTAGACCTACTTGAGTCAACTGTGTCACCACCTTGCCTTATACCAAGAGTCCTTTTCTCATTGTGATCATCAAAAGTGTTTTTAAGGTTTTGGGAGGAAGTGAAAGAAGTTTTGATCTTTTCACCTAAGAACTCATGGGGAATTGGGAGTATAGAGTCCTGGGTCACAGTCCCAGCTCTGCTCAGAGTATCTGGGTGGT